CAATGCCTTTGTTCCCCCAAGTTGGCCCAAGATGGCCTCCAAGACGGCCAAGATGGCCCAGGATCGGCTCCAAGATGCCTCCAAGAAAGCCAAGATTGGAGGCCTCCTGGGCCGTCTCGGGGGCCTCTTGGGGCCCTCTTGGGGGCCTCTTGGGCCGTTCGGGGCCATCTTGGAGGCCTCGAGGGCGATCTTGGGGAGATCTTTGGGGGCTCTTGGGCCGTCTCGGGCCGTCGGAAGGCCGAAAAGAGGCAAATGCCAAAATCCTTCAAACACCTACGGGAAATTAATGTTTTTGGCCTCTTCTGGCCTTCCTGGAGGCCCTCTTGGAGGCCTCTTGGGCCGTCTTGGGCCAGCTTCGAGCCAACTTCGGCCTTTTTGGTGGGCTCCTGGCCCGTCTGACGCCGTCGGAAGCCGATTGGGAGGCCTCTCTGGGCCCACTTGAAGCATTATTGGGGTGTTCTAGGGCCGTCTTCGATGCCATCTTGGGCGTCTTGGAGGCCTCTTGGCCCATCTTGGGGCCCTCTTGGGACCGTCTTGGGGGCGTCTTGGGCCGTCATGGAGCCATCTTGGAGGCCTATTGGGCGATCTTGGGGCGATCTTGGGGGCCTGTTGGGCCGTCTTGGGCCGTCGGAAAGCCGTAAAGGCGCAAATGCCAAAATACTTCAAAAACCAAAAGAAGATCAATGATTTCGGCCCTTCTGGGCCTTCCTGGAGGACGTCTTGGAGGACTCTTGGGCCGTCTTGGAGGCCTCTTGCGGGCCTGTTGGGCCGTCGTGGACCGTCTTGAGGCCATCTTGGGCCGTCTTGGGTGCATCTTGGAGTCATCTTAGACGTCTTTGAGGCCCTCCAAGAAGGCCCGAAAGTGTCAAAATGGCCTCCAGGCGGCCAAGATGACCTTCAAGATGCCCACGTGTTCCCCGAAGGCTTTCCAAACCGATTCGGGGAACACATGGTCCGATAGCTTGGCAGGTCTGGCCTCAACGTTCGGCCACATAGGCGCTTCCACAAAAGCAGGGGGCGGCGGTGATTCGCCGTAGGCGTCTTCGATCCGCCGCCCCCTGTCGATTCATCGCAGGGATGCATGGCGTGCTAGACGATTTCGGCTTTCCCCCTGGGGCTTCGGCCCGTCCCGCCGAACACCCGGAAAGGAGCATGATGCCCCATGTTTCGCTCAAGATGGCCCAAGATGGTCTCCAAGATGGCCACGTTGGCCCAAGATGGCCTCCAAGATGGTCCAAGATGGCTTTCAGGTCCGCCCAAGATGGTCCAAGACGGCCTCCAAGACGGCCCAAGAGAGTCCAAGATACCTCCACGTTCGCCCAAAAGGCCTCCAAGACGGCCCAAGACGACCCAAGAGGCCTCCAAGAGGTCCTTTCCCTTGGGTTTTGAATGATTTTGAGACTCGCTTCTTCTCGGCTTTCCGACGATTCAAGACGGCCCAGAAGGCCCCCAAGACGGCCCCCAGGCCACAAGACGGGCCAAGAGGCCTCAAACACGCCCATGATGGCCTCTAAGACGGCCCCGAAACGCCCCAAGAGGGCCCCAAGTCGGCCCAGAGAGACCGCAAAGACGGCTTCCGACGGCTTCCGACGGGCCAGGAGCCCACCAAGATGGCCGAAGTTGGCTCTAGGCTAGCCCAAGGCGACCCAAGAGGCCTCCAAGGGGGCCCCCAGGAGGGCTCGAAGAGGTCAGAGTCATTGGTTGTGCTTACGTTTTTGAAGGATTTTGGAATTTGCCTCTTTTCGGCCTTCCGACGGCCCGAGACGGCCCGAGAGCCCCCAAAGATCGCCCCAAGATCGCCCACGAGGCCTCCAAGATGGCCCCAGAACGGCCCAAGAGGCCCCCAAGAGGGCCCCAAGAGGCCCCCAAGACGGCCCAGGAGGCCTTTAAGACGCCCAAGATGACCTCCAAGACGGCCCTGGAGCATTCCAAGAGGGCCCCAAGTCGGCCCAAAGAGGCACCCCAAACGGCTTCCGACAGCATCAAACGGGTCAGGAGCCCACCAAGACGGCCGAACATGGCCCTAAGTTAACCCAAGACTGCCCAAGAGGCCTCCAACAGGGCCTCCAGGAAGGCCCGAAAAAGCCCGAGTCGTTGATTTCCCATGAGTTGTTGAAGGATTTTGGCATTTGCTTTTTGGTCAGTCTTCCGACGGCCCGGCTCCAGGACGGCCCAAGTGCCCCCAAAGATCGCCCAAGAGGCCCAAGACGGCCCCAAGAGGCCCCCAAGACGACCGAAGAGGCCTCCAAGACGCTCAAGATGGCCTTCAAGACGGCCCAAGAGCTCTCCAGACGTCCTCCAAGAAGGCGCGAAAGGGTCAGAATGGCCTCCAGGCGGCCAAGATGACCTTCAAGATGCCCACGTGTTCCCCGAAGGCTTTCCAAACCGATTCGGGGAACACATGGTCCGATAGCTTGGCAGGTCTGGCCTCAACGTTCGGCCACATAGGCGCTTAAATAGCCCAAGAGGGCCCCAAGACGGGCCAACAGGCGTCCAAGACGGCCCAAGAGGGCCCCGAAAACGGCCCCAAGAGCGCTCCAGGAGCGCTCCGAGTGGCCTCCAAGAGAGCTCAATATGGTTCCAGACGGTCCAAGAGCGATCAAAGACACCGAAGACGGCCTCCAGACAGCCCAAGATGCCCCAAAGAGGCACCCAAGATGCGCCCCAAGAGGGCCTCTAGACGCAAAAAGTTGGCCCGTTCCCTTCGTAAAACGTATATGTTTCACAAATTCGCCTTTTGGGCTTTCCGACGCTCCCGGACGGCCCAAGAGGCCCCCAAGACCGCACCAAGACGGTCCAACAAGAGGGCCCCAAGACAGCCCAAGAGGGCGCCAAGGCGGCTCAAGAGGCGCCGAAGACGGCCCAAAAGAGCCCCGAAGACGGCCCCAAGAGCGCTCCAGGAGCGCCCCACGTGGCTTCCCAGAGAGCTCAACATGGTCCCACACGGTCCAAGAGCGATCGAAGACACCCGAGATGGCCTCCAGCTGGCCCAAGACGCCCCCAAGGGGCCTCCAAGATGCGTCCCAAGAGGGCCCCTAGACGCAAAAAAATGCTCCTTTCCTTCGTAAAACGTATAGTTTTCACAAATTCGCCTCGTGGGTTTTCTGACGCTCAAAGGCGGCCCAAGAGGCCCCGAAGACCGCCCCAAGACGGCCCAAGAGGCCCCAAAACGGCCGCACGACGGCCCAAGATGGCCCCAAGACGGCCCAAGAGGTCCCCAAGACGGCCCAAGAAGGCTCCAAGACGGCACCAAGAGGGGCCCAAGAGGGCAACCAAAAATTCAAAAATCTAGCTTTCCGTCCCCATGAGCCCCAGGGGGGCCCAAGAGTGCCCCAAGAGGCCGCCAGAGGCCCCCAAGAGGCCGCCAAGACGCCCCGAGGAGTCCCCAAGAGGCCCCCAGGAGGCCTCCAAAAGACCCCCAGACGCTTCCGCATGGCGAGCCGTCAAGCCAACTGCAATGCACTTCGCGCATGTAGCCTTACTCTTCCTCGCGACGTGCTCACAATCTGGCTCGGCGCTAATGTGCTGCTGCTACGCGAACTGTTTCGTGCGCACTGCGAACGTCAACAGCCTCTTCACCCGTTTCGACTCATCTGCTACAGTTTTCGCGGTGATGCTTCGCTGATCACAGCTTCCGCACGCTACTCTTGCTCCTTTCGTCTTCCGGTGCTCCTCCACTTGGTTGAGGGTCGAAAGGCCGACCTCCCAGACGGACACCCCGCACCCGGGTGCACAGCACGCAAGGCGCTCGCAAAACACGCCCCAGACCACCGGCATCACGCAAACATTTGGACCCCCTACGTATCTGCCACCACCCGCGCGCGACACCGCACCCTCACACAAGACGCCGCTGGCCAGAAACTCCTGGCCTCGCAACAGTCACAGAAGGGGTCGGCGGATGTGGCGTAAGCCTGTAGAATCAAGTGCAACGCAACTTGCTGCCGGGGGTGGAACGCGCTCCCACCTCGCAGACCCAAGGAGCTCGCGCGGTCCCGTTCCCAATGGCTTGGCGAAGAGAACACTACGCGGGCCGCACATGGGCGGAAGCTGCAAAACTTCCTACAAACGCGGCGAAGACGAATCATACGCCGCGATGATACAGCACTGCCACCTTCACTCGGCGGCGAGCGAGAGGGGGAATTGAGAAGGAGAAGGCCTTCTCAGAATGCGGCGGGGCTTCTCGGAAGGCCTCCGGCCTGGTGTGAGGTTTCTGCGTCTTCGGGAGAGGCAGGGAAAACTTCGCAGCGGGCTGGGGACTTCTGAGCCCTCTGCGAAGGCCCGCCCCTTCTCGCTCTTCCCAACTGGCTCGCAGACGATTCGCTCGCAAGCCGTGCGGGCGTTTGGGCGAGGTCGGCAGCTCGCCCGCTCCCGCGCAGCCCCGCATCGCGGTGTGGACAAGCGCCCACGCGTGAACTGCGGCGGGGCTGCAGCCGGTGCTTCAAAAGAGCACGCGTTGCGTGGGAGGTCCGGTGGCAACTCGTGGGGGCCTCCCGTACGGCAGTTTCGTGTCGTGCCGACTTCGGCGTTGGTCTGAGATACTGCGGGGATCGTTCAACGTTCAACCTTGAACGAGCGGCCGTTTCCGAAATATCAGATCGCTCAACATCGACCGATTCTGGGTCGCAGGCGGCGTTCCAACGTTGAGCGCCAGCGGCGGGGTCGCCGCCGGTCGACACGACGCGGACCTAATCTTTGTGGCTCTAGCAAGTCTGTGACACTCGGTACTAATCGACGCTGGTCGACGCTGAGTCGACGCGAATATTAGCTAATCGACGCCGTAATCGACGCCAGGTTGGCGCTATCTCATCGATTACGAAATACTCATCAACGCTAACGCAGTCTAAAGACGGACTTACAAGGCATACCAGGGTCCCACGGTCAGCGACCGAAGAAGAGAACATTACGTCGCCGCGCAAAGCAAAAGACGAGGAGCAGCAGCAGCAGCAGCAGCAGCAGCAGCAGCAGCAGAGGAGGAGGCGTCGCTGCAGCGGCAAGCGGACCATTCGGGCTTCGGGTCGTTGAGCCACCTGCGGGGCGCCCCCCTTGGCGGCGCGCACAAGTGGGTAGGGGGATGGGGGAAGGCTTCTTAGAAGGAAGCTGCCTCTTAGAAGTCGCCGGCCCTACATTTACAGAGACGGTCCGCGCCTTCGAAGGAGGGGTGTTTCTAAGAAGCCTCCCCCCTCCCCCATACAGTAGGGACTCGACCACAAGAAACCTTCCACAAGAAACCCAACCCTGAGACCCAAGGACGTCCATCGAAGTTTGGCGTGGGAACGTGCAACGTAACACCTTCCATCGCACAGCCACTGAAGCCCAGGAAGCCCATGGCACCCTGAGGCGAGCAGGGTGTTTCTCGGCGTGGGCCCCCACTGTACCCCCGCTGTGCGCGTGGCCGACGCCCCCCCCCCTGGAGCTGAGGGGCAACGATAAGGGAGGGATAGGCATAGGGGGGACGCATCGACCTGGAATCGGCGATGCATCGTCGATAGATCGGTGATAGGCCGCCGAGAGTGAATCCGCACCTTTTCTGGGGCGGGGTGGGGCTATCGGGCCCCTATCGGCGATCAATGGGCGATCGGAGGTCGACGTCGCTCGGGTGGTCCCTTCCCCCGCGCCAGTGCTCGGCCTCGCGCGCCGCTGTCCTCGCAGGGGGCTCTCCAAGGCGCTCCTCGGCGGCCCCCGCCGAGGAAGATGAGATGGGTCGATTTCCCACCGCCACTGCCAGTTTCGGGTCGGGCGAAAGGGGGGGATAGCAAAGGGGGGGTTTGAGAATCAGCTCACGTAGCTGATTTTCCCGGCGCCTCCCGGCGCCGGAGGCGGCGATGTATCGAGGAATGGGCCCCTCGGTGAGGCCGAAATCAGCTGCATGCAGCAAATTTCGTACCCCCCCCTTTCCCAATCCCCCCCTTTCGTCCGGCCCGACAGCTGCAGGAGGAGGGCCCGGAGCTCAGACCTCAAAGCGCGGCGAGGCCCGCACGCGGGGGGGCCAAGTCCCGGAGGAGAGAAAAAGCGAAACGACGACCTCGCCATCGCTCGGACGTCCATTCCCTGTGTTTTTGTTCGTTTTCGTGCGTGGCTTTTTCGCCAAATGATCAAGGATGCTCCTCGATGGTCCTCGCCGAAGGAACAGTGCACACGTCCGAGCGATGCCAGGCGACCCGACGGAGGCGAGACGGGCCGCGGCCAGCCTGCAGGGCCGGGCGCTGGAGCAGCAGCAGAGCCCGGCCAGGGGCCCATACAGTCGGGGCGTTGACCTAAGGAACCCTAAACAAGGAACGAGGCCCCTTTTTTCCATAAGTTAAACTTCGATTTCCTGTCGGAAACATAAGGAAAACCTGAGGCACGCTGCGAAACAGTTCAGGAACGCGGAGCCCCTCCCCAACGAAAAGGGGTCCTTCTTCAGGGGCCCATAGCAAGAGCAGGGAAACAATGCCCGAGGCGTCGGCCGCAAGGGCCGCCACGCCGACGTGTCGGCGCAAGAGAGTACTCCACCCCCACAGCAATCCAACACATCCTCCTCCTCCTCCTCCTCCTCCTCCTCCTCCTCCCTCCTCCTCCTCCTCCTCCTCCCCCCCTCCTCCTCGAGGAGGAGGAGGAGGAGGAGGAGGACCTCCCAATACTCCCTTCTCCACCGTCCTACCTATGGTAGTGGTGGTGGAACTTGGCGACAACAGAAGCATTGAAACAATGCCTGAGGTGCCCTCCTGACCCTTGGTTCCGGGCAGAAGGGGGTCTTTCGTCACGGGGTCGCAACTAAATGCAGTAGTGCATCCTGTGGCACATGGCGCGCTGCAGCCACGTGCTGATATTGCACGACGTGCGCATCCCGCACGAGCGACTGCACGAAATGTTGCGTACATGTCTGCAACCCCCTCTGCACAGGACCCAATACAGTCGGACCTGGGCCAGAAGAACATCCTTCAAGAACATGGGACCCTCCGTCGGCCAAAACAAACAGAACATCCGAGGGCTCCCTCCCACAGGATGCACAAGAACATCCAAACAAAAAAGCACGAAGAACATCAGGGTACCATCCCCGAACCGACCTCGATCTTTGAAGGGGCCCACAACCACACAAATAAATACACACAAATAACAGAAATCCCAATATTCTCCCATATTTTCTGGGTTTCTTTCTTCCCCCCCACGTCCCAGTTTTTCCCATATCTTCTGGGGAATCGACGATTCATTGTGTCTGTGTGTTTCTTTCCATCCTGGATCTTAGCCCTCGGCCCAAGCCTGGAGCCCAGATCCGAACTTCCTCGTTCGGCTCCTCCCTGCCCTGCCTCGTCTCGGGAATCTTCTGCCCCGGGTCAATCCAGACCCGGGTCAGCAGGAAACCAAAAACTGCAATGCACGGAAAAAAACTGCAACGCAGATCTCCGCAAACCCGGGTCAGCCAATGTGCGCGGCCGCCTCGCGGCCACGAGCGGCTCGCTAACCCGGGTCAGCCAGAGGGGGTCTTCGCAGGATCCTGCAGGATCTGGCGCCCTGGCTGACCCCCGTTTGCATTGACCCCCGTCTCGAGGCTCCCGATCGTCCCTGCGCCCTGGCCCTCCGGGGAGGCGGGCTCCCTCGGGGCGGCCGGGGGGGCGTGGCAGGCGGGCGCCCCACCCCTCGGGGGTGTACTCCCACTGCTGGTAGCCCAGGACCTCCGCGGGAGGGGCGGGCCCCCAGGCCGAAAAGGTCATCCCCACAAATCCTGCCTCTCCCTCCTCCTGCCTCTCCCTCCTCCTCCTCCTCCTCCTCCTCCCCTCCTCCTCCTCCTCCTCCTCCTCCTCCTCCTCCTCCTCATCCTCGTCCTCGTCCTCGTCCTCCTCCTCCTCGTCCTCCTCCTCCTCGGATCCTGGCGCTGCAAGCTCTTCTCGGGCCGGGCGAAAGGGGGGGGATAGCAAAGGGGGGGGGTGAGAATCAGCTCACGTAGCTGATTTTCCCGGCGCCTCCGGGCGCCGGAGGCGGCTATGTATCCAGGAATGGACCCCTCGGTGAGGCCGAAACCAGCTGCATGCAGCAAATTTCGTAACCCCCCCTTTCCCAATCCCCCCCTTTCGTCCGGCCCGATCTTCACTGCGCGAGAGTTTGCCGTGCTTGGGGCCCCAGGACCCTCACAGATCGATGCGGCTCGAAACACCGCGCCGAAACATGGCGCCTGGGGCTCCGATGGTGACTTCTCTCGCGGCGCTGCAGCCTCTTCGCAGCGTCGGCTCTGGGGGTTGCCAGACGTGCTCCTCGCTCCATCCTGGAGCCCTGGGGCCCTCCTGGGCGCGCCATCGCTCGGACGTCCATTCCCTGTGTTTTTGTTCGGTTTCGTGCGTTTGCCAAATGATCGAGGATGCTCCTCGATGATTCTCGCCGAAGGAAAAGTGCACACACACGTCCGAGCGATGCCAAGTGGGCGTCGTGGGGGCTGCCCTGGAGGCCGCAGGGCCCCCCGTGGGGCTCTGGAAGGGCACCTCGGGCCAGAGGCACCTCCGGCAGGCGCCCTGGCCAGAGGGCCAGGCAAGGAGGAGGAGGAGGAGGAGAAGGAGGAGGAGGAGAAGGAGGAGGAGGAGGAGGAGGAGGAGGAACAGGAGGAGGAGGAGGAGGAAGAGGAGGAGGGAGGAGGAGATGAGGAGGAGGAGAGAGGAGGAGGAGGAGGAGGGAGGGAGGAGAGGAGGAAGAAGGGAGGAGGAGGAGGAGAAGAGGGAGGAGGAGGAGGAAGAGGAGGAGGAGGAGGAGGAGAAGGAGGAGGAGGAGGAGGAGGAGGAGAGAGGAGGGCGGGGGCGAGGTCGGGCCCCCGTGCGCCGAGGGGCGGTGGGGCGCACGCGGGGCACGCGGGTCAGGGAGGGGCCCTCCCCGGCCACACACTCGCCTGGAGGTCCGAGATTTGGACGTGAGCTACAGGATCCCCACGCTGGGCCGCCCCCAGGCTCTGGGGGGGGGGCCTCCCTCCTCCCCCTCCTCGTCCTCCTCTGGGCCCCTCTGGATGGTGGCGGTTCTCGTGCACAGAAATGGATGCCATCGTCCTCCTCCTCCTCCTCTGCCGCCTCCTCGTCCGCCTCCTCCTCCTCCCTCCTCCCCTCCTCCTCCTCCTCCTCCTCCTCCTCCTCCTCCCTCCTCCTCCTCCTCATTCTCCTTCCCTCCCTCCTCCTCCCCTCCTCTCCTCCTCCTCCTCCTCCTCCTCCTCTCCTCCTCCTCCTCCTCCTCCTCCTCCTCCTCCTCCTCCTCCTCCTCCTCCTCCTCCTCATCTCCTCTGCCTCCTCCTCCTGTTTTTTTGATAAATTGGGTCGGTGACCCGGTGACCCATTTTTTTAAGAAGAAAAAAAAACTCTGGTTCGGGGGCTTCCGGAGACCCTGGGGCCACCTCGGGCCAGGGGCACTTCCTGCAGCACGCGCCCCCAGTTCACCGAGCTCGCTCCACTGCTCGCAGAGTGCCGACTCGCAGAGTGCCTGCTCGCAGGCCTCCGACAAAAACACTGATATTTGCACCGATATCGTCTATCGTGAATCCCCCGCGGCGGATCCAGGCCAGGTCAAGGTCAAGGTCAAGCCCGAGCGCGGGAAGGCGAGCGCTTGCAGGGCGCAGGCGGGCGGTGCGGCCCCACGAGCCAAGCTCGCCTTCCAGTAGCCCGCGCTCGCCCTCGCAGACTGCCGTGCGTCGGCGCTCCCGAGGCCACGAGCCCACCCAACAGAGGCCGCCCCAAAGCGCCGCCCCCCTCCAGAGCAGAAAGCTACAGTCGGATTCGATTGGACCGGACACGCGAGAGGACACAAGACCCATTCTGGAGTCCACATCGCCACGGGAGTGTGAGAAGGCACGTGTCGCGAGGCACAGGACACAAGGGTACCCCTGAGCTGGCAGTGTCGACATACTAATCCGGGCCGCCTGTACACGTCGGTCGGAAGAAGTAGGTAGAAACATGAAGTAGGAAGGCAGATGTAGTGGATTGGGTCCAGGTCCTCCCAGAGAATAACAGAACACAGCAAAAGCATGTCGACTCTTGGAGTAGGAAGGCGCTTG